GGTGTTGGATGCTGTTGTTTGTATGGAGTTTTTTTTCTGTCCACCTTGTTTAATGCTGTATAGTGTTATTGGTAAAGCAAGATGTTGGACGCAGTTTGAAGGTGTTTGGTCACCATATGTCATGCTGGTGGATGATGTTGGTTGGACCAACAATGTGACCAAATATTTCTTGTCTAGCCTAGACTTGAGTTTGCACTACTACATGGGCCGCTAATACGAAAGGTGAATAGTGCTATCGATATAAATCCATATCCAGCCAATAATATCCATACAAAATCTATGGAGCACTTTATACAACCGGGGCCCGACCATTACAGTGTATATTATAATATATGTGTACTATATAATATAAGCATGTAAAGGGCATACCTATACACGTAGAAGATTACAGCTGCTAAGAATGCTATGACAACAAAAGCTGCTACTGAAATCGCGATAGGAAGACGGATGTCAACCTCTTCGTCTGTAGTCTTTGGAGGCTTTTTCTTTCCTTAAAAATAAACAACATAAATATATTATATCGTTATATCCCACAGCTACTTCCAAACAACGCACTCAGGTGTGCAGCCACAAGGTAAAGCTATCTCCGCCATGTTGGATGGATGAACAAGAGAAGTTAACGAGGATTACTCTGCTATATATAGAACTTTATCCAAAATGGAGGCTAAGAGATACCATGTATACCAAAAATGGAAATGACAATAGTTAGTTCTACCTGCATTGCGATCAATCACTTCGGCATACGTAGCTTTCGTAGATTCTCCATCTTCAAATGTAACCTCAAAACGACCTTCTTCGACTAACTTCTTGATTCTCTGAACTGCCTGTGAAATACATAAAAAACATAGAGAACAAACCATCAAGGGCCATTATTTTAAGAAAACAACATGTAGATCTTGACAGTGTACAGTGGTAGCACTTTAAACGGTCATGCGCCCCGTATTGGGACAAGTGGCTTTTTGCATGCAATAGATTTCGTCCGCTAAATGGAGGTTGAATAGACTTTTTATTGTGTCAGCCTAATACTATAGCCTAATACAAGGTGATTAAGCGCCATTTACACCCTAACCTCATCCATTGTGATGGTATTGTTGTCGTCTCTTTGAATAATGTTGACTTCGACGTAAGGATGTACTTGAGCACTAACAAACACCTCAAGACGACTTTCAGCGATAGGAAGAGACTGGACGATTGTGTACAGCACCATATTAGCAAACTCCTCCCTCCACTCGATCGTTCCTTTGTTTTCTTTGTCGAGTTGTTCGTCGAACGTCAATTGAATGGTTCGTATTTCATCTGACAATCAAAATAAATGAATCATTGTATGTAGACAGTTAACAGCTTACTTTAAAGCTGTATCCCACTACAAATACACTGGTGACACTACAGCGCTATGACTAAAAGAGGATATCAACAATAACTACTAATAACGTAAGATTTGCTTCCTGTTTAGTCAACGTCATATGCTACAAATACCGGGTACACATTCAAGATGGCATACATATCGACATGTACCTACCTCGTCGATATCCTTCCTTACCTTCTTAATGTACCTCTTACCTTGTCAAGGAGGTAAAGAGACATATGGACCAGGAATTGGTCTGTGCATATTGAGGATATAGAGAAATTCATGGCCGATATACCTAGCTAACTAAATACCTTCCTACATGGTCAAATAATGCATGGTATATTCTAGAGTGCTTACCATGGACAATTATGGGTATGGTAGCCGAGGCAGTACTAACATCATTGATAGCATTCACTTTAACCAAGTATTTCCCTGCCTTGGTGTACACATGACTGACAGTTCGTTCCCATGTCAACAGAGGCTTCTCCCTGGAATCCACATCAAACGTCCACACAAAGTGCACAAAGCCATGGTAGGACGTCCAGTCAGAACCATGGTTAGAATACAAAGTGATGTTGAATGTGGCATTGATACCAACCAGTATCCCATATGGTCGTATTATACGAAGACTATTAATTTTATCTGCAATAATGAAATGGTTTTGATTAACCCCTTGACAATTGTTGGTTATACAATTAACTTGTCACACTGGACAAAAAGAGGAGTTACTGTCAGCAAGCAATATACTACAATATACTATAGCTAGACATTACCATGAAGAGGCAACATGACTTTTCAATTCCAATAACGCTCATCTTCATTTAATTACTGTCTGTGCCATTTGTCTTTTTGTAACTGTTTTTCTAAACTAAAACGAATCTTTTCCTGTCCTCTTTTTCATTCAATTTATTTTATATTCAGTGAACATGGAGGCCACATGAACTGTTATAACTGTAAAACAATTTAATCATCATGTACGTTTATACCTATGACTTCGACAACTATTCTTGYTGTGTCGTAACCCACACTATTATTTGCCGTGAGTGTCACATTAAAGGTCCCATGTTCGGTGTAATTATGCTGTATCTGTTTAGCTTGTTCGATTCCTGTAAGGGTCACTGATGGAAAGCTGTCGCCAAAGTTCCATTTATACCAAGTTGTCTTGGTTGAACCCTAGGAATAAAAGCAACAACTACTTAAACTCTTTTTCTTTCTTTTTCTTTTTTTCCACGATGTTACGAAACACTCTCCTGCGTTATTTGCACACCAAGAACTAAACACCTAAAACAGCGCCTACAGCACTTAACTACAACCTTGTTCCTGGAAACGCAGGAACTAACAGTTCTACAAAAATTCTTGGTCCTTTTGATCAAAGTACATAGGCTTCAATATCTACAATTTCCATTTATATACTATCTTAACTCGTTTATTTACCTTTTGCTGAATAAGATAAAAAGTGTTGATCTCGTAGGATGGAATTGTAGAACTCTCTACATTAATAGCCAGCCCTGAAGGACCTGAAAACAGACACTGGATCTCCGTTATCACGAACATCTGACATTAACGAGTTTGAACAATGATAGCTTCATTATGATGATCAGTTTTATCTGCGATTAAAGGTTAACGGTAAGCAAGACATAACCAACACTATCACCTTGAACTGGACACAAAGTATCTTTAGACTTAAAGTTGTCTTCAATGCCACCAACACATCTGTCACCTGGTACTTTGCGATATCTGGACAAAGTGATATGACTCAGATACAGTGACTACCATAACCTCGATTCTGGTTCACTACATCTTTCCAAAAAGACACAAAAATTGGGGGGAAAGAGATATGATCTCAATAATATGTTGTTTCAGCCGCATCGACAATGAAAACAGACGGAATTGCCATTTTCGTGTTGTCAAACCTATTCTGTTACAAGATGTACTCACCCTGAAGTTCGCTTGTATGTCGTGAGCTCAGGACAATTCTTTGGTACAACATATTCATCACCACTTGAAAAACACTCACCGCTATCAGTCTTGACAAACCCAAAGTCACTACAAAGCAAAATGTAATTAAATATAACGTCAACAAAGAAGTCACTTCCATAAAACTGATTTTTCAATTTCAAAGGAATATCAAAATAGGCTCCAGATTACGGCAAACTAAATGTTATGTCTGCTTTGCAATGAAATTTTTAAACTTGATATTATAAATATTTTTTCAAAAAAATAGAAACATGATTAATGCAAAAGCATTTGTTGTTGTTCTGTGCCTTTACGACAATACAGTACATACTTTATCATAGCATTGACTGACATACGCAGATAAAAAACATTCAAAAACTCATTAATTATTCATGAGGTATTCAGCCAATCCCTGTTTGTAATTTGTACCACGTGAAGTAACTTGAAACCAGAGGAAGTACTCGTACCTTGTATTCTACCTTATTTCCAGTTACTTCTACCTTTTTTCAAGTTACTTCTACATTATTTCCAGTTACTTCTACCTTATTTCCAGTTACTTSTACCATGTTTCCAACTACTACTAACTAATGCTAATCAAATTATTAGAAATAATCAGTTTAACATTAATTTAGTGAAAAAAGGTCTTTGATACATGACTCCCTCAMGACTCGATCCCCTACCGTCCAGTCTATATGCGCCGTCTTATACCATTACGCCACCGATTTTCTGATGCTATTCATCGGAAGATAACATACTTATAAATCTTATGGATTAGACTCATTAGGAATGCCATGAATAGCAGACAAAGACAATTTGAATAGCTTTTGTTTCAGAAAGCCGTCCGGGAATTGAAGAACAACAAACGGTGATTCATGCATTCAAAATTATGAAAACTGAAAACCTTAGTGGAGATGCAATAAATCAATATATTTCTGTTATATGTATTTCCTTCGCTTTTTTTCCCTCCCGAATAATTAATGAGTTTTTGAAGTCGTTCAAAGGCCTCCAATTCGGACTTGACGGGATTTCAAAGTCCTTGCAATTAGTTCCAGTCCTCGGCTAGCGCCTCGGACTGGAACTAATTGCGCGGACTTTGAAATCCCGTCAAGTCCTCATTGTCGGCCTTTAAACATTACATCAAGGCATTCCTTTCTACTTCTTACATAAATTTGTAGGATTATGCATTAATTTTTATCATTCATGACTCTTGAAACTCATCCTGTCCTTTCCATCTTTCCTTTTTTTCCTTTCATTTCTTTCCCTCTTCTCCTAAATTCCTTTGCATATGTAATGACCTACCAAGTAAAATCTTCCATAGTACAGTTACATGACTTGCTACTGATTTCTCGATCATATTCTTCTCCATTGAAGCAAGACATATTGGCTTTACGTCGCTCGTATACCATGAGCTCACCCATAAGACAATTTCCTGTCATCCTCTGATGAATGAAAAGACTATATTCAAGCAAAACAAGAAAACTTTGACTGCGTTTTCACGTTTCTGAATATGATATCATTGTTAGATATTTGCTTTCAAGAGCGTTCATCGTTTTTACTGATTTCGAGAAAACAAGAGCCCTAATACACAAAATAGTGTTCCAATAGGTGTACATACACAGCCCGGTAACTCGTTTGGTTAGTTTGCCTGCTCACAGGCGAAAACCTCTCTATAGTTTGGTGGAAATTGTTGCGGTTTCGCTGTTGCAAACGTCTACACACTATGTTTTATGTTGTTGGATAAAGCACTTTGAAATTGCTCACATTTCAAAGCATGTAAAATACAGTTACAGCACTATTTACCTCGTCATTTGGTGTCCAGTCAACATAGTCTGATAGGTTCTTATCACACTTTCTTAGAAATACAGATGACAAATTGACTTTGACTGACAGCCACTCAAAGACTGGAGACTCATGTTGCCCAAATATGCTACAAAATGAAGTAACAGCTAGTTTAGCATAATTTATTATGAAAAAAGGTCCATGCAGTCTCGCTTCAAGAAAACTGAAGATCACTTCCTGTTCAGAACTATAATTTTTTCATGAATAGGTCAGTTCTTACTGAATGCTAACAAATAATCGATCATGAATGCATACATGAGAGGGAAGTCATAAACTGAGAAGGCTAGAGCTGCTACAAGAAGCTATGAACCTCTGAGATACAAAAMGTTTCGGATGTTAATGTACTTCTGGAAGTTGTTGATAATGATAAACATCTTCTTGTGAATTAAACTATCGCTGAACAATGTCTCGTGATAAGCAACAACTAACTTTACGTATAACTTACTTGGCAATCAGCGTTGTGTCACCTGGTTCGGTAACCAGACCGTACGCCTTGACTTTTTTATCTAATGTTATATTCTTCCAATGATTGCCTTCAGTACAGCTATACCTGCACAAAATGGAATAACATTAAATCTTCTTCCCGACCATTATTTCGAAATTACGTGGCAAGGAAGCAGATTCATTTTTTTTCTTACATTTTGCGCATTAAAGAATGCTGGRAACTGCAGTCCTTGCACTTTTTATAGCCTCTGTAAAACATTTAATGTTTTCTTTGTAGAAACCGCACAACTACTACTACTGTCGCGAAGAAAAAGCAAAAAGGCTTGTAGTAGGACTGTTTTAGCGCTCGAGACATGAAAAAGTAGTATAGCCAAGCAACCATTGTCCCAACGAATCAATGAATAAGACAGGAAATGAGTAAAATCCATTGTTTTCTAGGCAGAACATTTGGAATAGACACAAAGGGAAAACAGCCTGAAATTGCAGCAGATCAGATCCTCCTTCACCTGACTATATATCTAACTGGTCCTAACTTAAAATGTGGCACAGCCATTACCGCTAACGGTGATGCACCCTCCTCCCAACCCAGCAGGGAGTCCACTGATCCTCGATGCTATGTTGGGGTAACTGACAACTAGATAATCAGGGCTTGATATCATTAATCATCTCCCAAGTCATGCCCAGTTTGAATATTGCGAGGGTTACAGTTCCCATCATACTTTTTAATGGTTTTGTTGACACTGACTATTACGCAATTAATTAATGATTGTAATCAGCTGTACAATAATCATTGTTATATGACAATTACCTGACAGTCTTTGTGTAGCTCCTAATAGGCACGGCAACAATAATTCCCCCATGGTCACCGAAAACGAAATCATATCTGCCATCTAGAACCTAGTGAAAAGTAAATTAACATAATTTATATAAATTCACAGTGGCTTGCTGTCGTTGTACATACTATTATCCAAAATAAAGTGAACAAAATGGAATGAATTGATTGAAACTACTGGATATCAGCAACAGAGGTCAATCTTTGTCTGTTTTTTCTTTCATAATATGACGTTTCATTTTTTTGTGTTTTTCAAAGATTGTCAAAGGGACTTTATCCTACCTTTTTCCATGTTAGCCCACCATCAGCAGACAGAAAGACATYAGGAGACGTTGTCAGTGTTAGACCAACATCACCTATTTACATTTAGAAAGCAAGTAAGAATGTAGACTATGGTTGTTTGACACAGACAAGCAGGGAAGAAAAGCAAATGATAAATTCAGTTATAAGAAGTTAAGGAAGAAATAAAATAACACAATTATACACTCTGAAGAAGGTAGAGAGTACCTTGAGCCATTATCAAGCCAACGGCAGACTTGGAAGACAAGATGCTAGTTATCTGGTAATACTTGGAACTATGGACCATGTGAAGATTCAGAAAACAGTGGTACTACAAATAACAAGAAATGGTATTCAAGTAGTCATTCAACAAAACTGCCCCCAAAAATGCCCCCTGGAATATTAAAAGTGACACTTCTCTAGATTGAAGTTCCAATGAAAATCTGTAGAGAATTTAATTGTAGAATAAGCATTTTTTAACTTGCATCTTCTACAGATTTTCATTCACTGATTATTACATGCTTTGCTTAGTGAAGCATTTTATTAAATAAAACAAATGGATTTAAGAAGGATAAATTTGAAGTTTAAATATTTCAGCTAAAGAAAGTCTTTAGCAGCTTACAGGGTGACGGCATGTTTGYTTAGACTCCTCTGGGACATTTAGTCTTTTCCAGTTGCCACCTTTATCAAAGGAGATGTAAGTCTTGATGATATGACTGGATGCTAATGTATTGGCAAGGAGGACACCACGAAGACTCTTCACCTAGAGTAAATGAATGATTAATTGAATGCCTTAATGATACTGGATGATTAAATGAACTCACTGGGACCCGATATGTCAAGCTATCGTTGAGCCGAATCAAATAGTCAATTTGTATAGACCCAAAAGTACATTTTGTATGGCATTGATTGATACATTGAACTAAATGCAGTCAAAAACATAGGAAAAGTATGTAACATGCAATTTACATCTACTACAACACTACTACTACTACTGCCAAAAAATACAATTATATTATTTTGTGCATTAAATTTGGTGTGGTGTTAACACGTTTGAATCAGCGTCAAGCACACCCTCTGCATCCAACACCTGGATCTGCCCCTGCTGACTAACTGACTGAATAAAGGGACTAAATCAGCGTCAAGCACACCCTCTG